ACTGGAATGCCAGAGAAAAGGACCATCAAGCAAAACCTTTGTTTCCTTAGCCACTAGGCTGAACAAAAGCCCAAATCAGGTAGGTGCTATCATTCTTATAATTTATAGACTATGCTGCTACGTTTATGGTTGCAGTTGAACAAAAAACTTCAGAAATCTACTAACTTTGAGTTGTTTTTTTCCTTATGCCTTTTGTTTAGGGGTTCTTGAAAAAAAGAATCTTGGATTCTTCTACTCGTAACTTATTAAAAATATACAGTATAGGGGTATTATGGTCCAGGGATTCTTTAGTACCTATTTGATTGATGCCTTGAAAGTGCTGTGTCCAATCATAAGCCAGGGACCACAGGATTGTTTCTGTTGTTGAATCAGCACTTAAAGGCATTTTGGAGATGCCCCAAAGCCCTTGCACATACCTAGTAAATTAGAAAAAGCTTAAAACTAGCACTGGAAAAAAATACTGGGATTTTGCAGAAAGGACATATTTCATTACTATTTTTAATTTTACTTTGTAATTAAGAAACTTCAGAAGGCACAGATGTCAAGTTGGTGTAGAGTATTTCTAGAGGTTTGCATATAACTTTGTACTTGTCTTGAATTGCTGTTTTAATGTCTATCCTGCAAATCCAAGAAAGGAGAAACACCCATTTGGCTAAGTTAGGAAATCCTGTGTGCTCAGGATTTGGCTTTTAGGATGTTGTGTTCTATGGTTACAGAGTCTTCAAGGGGTTTAGAAGCTGTTGGGGTGCCTGACTGGATAAAGCAGCATTATCTGTACATTTATATCACTCTTCCCAGTTGGCTATTTGGCAAATGGTAGATATGCTATAGCGATATGTATATAGCAGTAAGAGATACTAGCTTATGATTGATCGAGCTCTCTATGTAAGCTGTAGCTATGTTCAGCAAAAAGATGTTTGACTCTCATCTACACACCACTTTTGTAAAATTCCAGGTATGCAGACACCTCATGATGAGCCATAAATAACAGCAGTTGTACCAGAGAGTAGAAATAAAAAATAAACTGTGCTTTTTGTGGAGTACAAAATAACATTTTGTCCTCACATTTCAATCTGGCTCACAGTTATACCTGGCAGAATTAGAGTCTAATTGACTTTGAAGCCCTCATTTTTTTCCCTCCTGTGTTGTAAACCAGTCTCCTGTGTTAAAACGGTATTTGGCTCTAGCTGTCTGTGATGCGTGTGGAGGCTATTTCAGATGTCAAAGGTACAGGAAGACTTCCTACATTTAACTAACCTGTTGATGGTTCTCCTAAAATTCTTCTGGTGAAATTTATTGGAAGCAAAAATCAAAATAATGGTTGTCTTAAGAACTTCATGCTGTCAGATTAGTTTGTCTTGGCAGTTACAAAAATCTGGGACCATAATGATATGTCTCTTTCTTTGTTCTCCATTAGGTTTCAGAAAGATTCAAGCAATTAATGAAGCTGTTCAAGAAATCCAAGTGCAAGTAAACTTGACACGAAGTTACTTCATGGTTACAGTGTTTAGCTGTTACTAGCAACAATGGACTACAACCACTACATTCATGTAATGGGATTAGTGGGAGGTAACCAGGTCAGAATACCAAGCTTGGTAAATCTGATGCACTTAATTATTTACTTCCCTGTCCATGTTTCCCCTGAAGTGCTTTATCAGAATAACACAGAAGGAACTTTACAAAGAAACTGGCTAGAAAAGAATGGGTACATACAAATGAAGCAGTATCATTTCAAGGGGGTGACATCTCCTGTAGGTTAAATATGTTCTATAAATAATGACAAGGGCATGCTGTCAAGTGGAAATGGTGGCTCGTGCTTCACTTGTTGGAAGTACTGCATGTGGTGACTTTGAACTATGATTTTAAAAAGTAAGTGTGCTTTGGAATCCAGTTGGTATTCCTGGAAAATGACTGGTATGTCATCTTGGTCACATTGAAACAAATTTTAGGAAGTTAGGCCTTTTTCTTTTAAAGACAGCAGAGCAATGATGATAATGATTCCATAAGATGCTTACATAGTAATTGCATTCTGATGTTAAGGAATAGGTGGTTCTTGCCGCTTTCTCAGCAGGTTGTAGTGGGTTATAAGGAGAGAATCTGGCACTGTGCGTAGGGTTTGTCTTCGATTTTAAGCACGTTATCATCTACAACAAACTGTAGTTAAAAAAAATTTTCAGTTCTGATGGTATTTTAAAATAATTTTGGGGTTGGGTTTGGGTTTTTTTTCCCATGAAAAAGGTATTTTTCTTTGCAAAAGGCAAATACGTTTTTGTGTTCCAAATTACATCTGGGAATGGTACTTAATTTAGGTCTTCAACATAATAAGCGCTCTATTTTTGTTTAAAAAAAAAATAAAATTTGACAAGTGATTTTCCTTTTAAACTTAATTTAGAAACAGACCTTTGCAGTTTTATAAAATGTGACTTTATACTTTCTAACCAGGAGAAAAACTTTTTTGTAAAAACAAGCAGTTTCAAAATGTTGTCAACTTGGCATGTTTTGACAGCAATTGTATCTTATCTTTGCAAATTGTTTATTACATTAGAAATTCACTATGTTCTATTTTAAAGAACTCTTATAACTGCTTCCAGTTTTACTAGCACATAGTAAAAGTGTGTATGTATACATATGTATACACACACTTCTCATTTGCTGCTTTATCCTGTATTTCTAAAAAAGCTTGGGGTTGTTTATTTTTTAATTTCCTCTAAGAAACATTCCTGGACATTGCACAGGTTTTCCTGTTCTGAATTTGTTGATGTTTGAGGTTTTATTCTTTATTGAGGATCAAAATTGCTGTCATCTTTAGTCAGTCAGAACATCTGCTGGGTTATTTAGATTTCATTTAAGAGCCCTACCAAAGTGCATTGCCTTTCAACTTGAATTAAATTAGCTTTTTGATGGAATCCAATGACTGCGGCTTCAGTTTCAACATAATGGCTTTTTGCTCCCTCCCCGGCTAACGGGACAGAGTTCTTATTCTAATAAAACATCAGATAATTGGTTGGTGATGTTGCCACTGACACCTTTGGAGTATTGTAAATGTGACCCTATGGAATGGATTGTCATGCTGCCAAACAGTGCATCATCCTCATTTTAGGCAGTGCTCTGGAAACTGTTACAAGGAATGACTTGAGTAGGTGATGATGTCAGTTCTGGCAGTCTTCCATCTTATATACTTGCTTCTAAAACATTTGCTTTTGATGATCAAATATCATCTTCCATGCTACACCAGAAGCATCTAATGATATCAGTGGGTGATTGGTATCCCCTACCCATGCTTGTTCTTAACGTCGATGACAGTTATTTACTCACTGGAGAATTAAATCTAACTGAAGCTGTTCTCACAACTACCAGTTGGCAGAGTAGCTTTCATGTTTGTGGAAAACCAGACTCTACTGAGTGTTTTAACCACATCCTTAGAGATCAAAGCGTGCACAGTACTGAAGGCACTGGGGGAAGTAGCTTCTCTCCATTCAAGCGCTTCCTCTCTGTCTCAAAAAAGCAGGCAGTTGTTTCTTCATTGTCTGTTTATTTACTTTCTTATCTGTACAGGTGACGGGGGAGGCCTGGGTTTGACTGGTTTGGTTCTGACTTGGATTCCTTTTTTTGTAAGTTATGAAACTTTTTTTAATGTTCTGTTGTAATTATGTGTACAGGTTCCTAATGTAAAATATCTGATGGGTGTATATATATATATATATAAATATGTATAAAAATAGAGCTTTGTTTAGCCAAAGATGACTTTTTTAACTACATAAAGCTCCAGGTTTATTTTGTATAAACTCCATAGTTTGCTTACTGTAAGAGTGATGCAAAGAATAAAACTGTAAAATTCACACACCTATACCCTTGTTGAACAATGGTTGGCTTGGTCTGGTTTTGTACTGTTGTTTGTAATTTGTTTCTCCAAGAAGAATTTTGATACATATATGCAAAATGTACTGTATGTAATCTACAGACTTACTTGTGAAACCTCAGGTAAATGAAAACATCTTCTAGAACAGTTGGCTAATTCCTTGACAACTACAAATGCTGTGAAGCAGCATTAAAATGGACTTCGTTTAGTTTGTATAAATGAGTAGCTCCGTTGATATTCCAGCCAATAAACATGGAAGTAAATCAGCTGCTGCTCTGATGCTGTTACTGCTCCAAACACATACTGCTTGTTTCTTACTGGACATGACTGGATCAGAAATCAGGCAATTTAACAAATAACATACAACCTTTAAACTACTTAGGAATTGGATCATATGACTTTCCTCTTTTTTTTTTTTTTATAGAATCATTGGGTTAGTATTGAGTGCAGTATTACAATGGAGGAAGACCTTTTGTATCCAAAGCTTTTCATTGGAAGAGTGTAGCTGGCAGCCCTTTGAGAGGCTTACTTATTACTGAAGAATAGGTCTGCTTCTGTCCACCACACGTATTTCTACAGGATTCAGACTAAAAACTCTTAGTGGACATGAGTATTGGAAAACTTTCTAGAGTGGGAATTCAAGGAGCAGGGTTTATGGAGATGTGCATAACAGTGAAACTGTAAAGCATTGGGTATCGATTTTTGAGGGATTCTGTTGCTAGCTGTCTACATAAAATAGTTGACTGGACTAAAGGCATTTCTCTTCAGTGTCAATGCAGCAACCCATAGCTATTTCCATTAAGTCTTTCCTCTAATTGTCTTCACTCTAAAACCAGCTGCAGAATAGTCTCTAGCAATTTGTCTTCATGCAGGGAGGCAGCAGTAATAAAGCATGCCAAGAACAGATTTCAGGACTTCTTGGAAGAATCAATCAAGAGGCATTGCAGGAGCAAAATTAGCTTCGATGGGGAAGATGGGCAAAGTTTTGGTGACGTCTGGTACATACATCCTCTCCCGTCAGAGTTTGACAGTACAATGCTGTGCCACCAAAAACAACCCCATCTCAGTCTTTAGGAAGAAGAGCCTGAAGTGGAAGTCAGTCACAACCTTATAGGATGGAAGAAAAAGGCCAAAAGACCAGAAGAGGAAAAAAAAACCCATACTTGGGATTTCCATAAAATTTAAGCCTTGGCAGGGCTTAGGCAGCAAAAGCTCTCGTTATCAGAACCTCAGCTCCCGTGGCCCTGATTTCTCACAAAATCCGATTTTGGTAACTCAGCTTTTTTAAACCTTGTCTCTCAAAGATACCAATTCTGAAGGTACTTGAGGTGGCTCTTTAACCCAGCTGAAGAAGGGTAGCTGTGTCAAAAGTCTGTGTTTCTGTCTGAAGACTTGAGTCTCAGTTCCTGTGGCCTCCTTTTCAAAGACTCAGTCTAACACATCCTAAATTAACTCACCAGGCAACAGAGTGTGAAATCGGACATGACCGATCGATCCTTGGGCATTGATTCAAAGCAAAACTAATGGAATGTAAAGAAAATGTAAGAATCTATCGTGCCGTAAAGGCTGCCTATTTGGCCATTTTGTAAAATAAAATGTCATTTGGGAGCTGAGTGGAGGTGTAATATTTGAAGAACCAGCTAAAACAAGGCATAGGGATATTGCAAACTACTGCTGTGCAGCTTGAGCCTTGAGGGAATGGTTTTGTTAGATTCCACTGACTAAAATAATTGCATGATAATTTTGGCTAGAGGCACCATCCTATCATCTGATGATTTTCAAGCTGTGCATGGGTAGTTTAGGCTGAGTTATCCAGCTACAAAGATCCGAGAAGTCTGCTCAGCATACCACATCTATGTTTTGGCTCTTGGGAAAAAATCGCATGTCCTAGCACTGTTGAAGCAAGGTCTCTGAGCTACAGTAATCCGCAGCACTGAGTGCTCCGTCTGCAATGCTCTAAGACAACCCAAGGGCTTTCTCATAAGGTAAGTGGCAGAAAAATAATTCTTCCCAGGACAGTATGAAGCAGGCAGGTGCCTGTTAGAGGTGAAGCAATGCAAATTAAATCCAGGAGTAGCTGGATTTTAGCATTTAACTTTCTGTGACCAGAAGTTTAAAGTTTTAACTCTGCTTTTTCAAACCTGGCATAAATTTAGGATAGATGTAATTTGAACAGTTGCGGATAATCAAATGAACTTTAAAATAACGAAGTAACAAAAACAAGGAATAAAGGAACTTCTTCCAAGAGAAATAGTAGATTTTCACCTGGTTCGAACTGATTACCCACATGCATTTTTATTGTTTGAAATAACTATATAAAAATAGCTGAAATAACTATATAAGAAAAGCTAGTCAGTATAATGAGAAATGTCTTGGGTATGTACTATCTACACTAAAAATGGATTATTTTTAGTATACTAGAATTTGTAGTCTACTAATAGACGGGAAATAATGATGTAATTGATATTTGAGATTACTCTCTTACAATAAATAGCAATTACTCTGTTACACAGAATTCAAATACGACGAGGGAAGGGGAAGATGGAAAAATTGGGTGCACATTGCTATGACAAGGTTGTAAACAAGTTTGGGCTGATTTCTTAGAAACTCCATCTCTTTTGGCTCTAGGCTAACTACTTCAGTTTAGACACAACATTCACCATGTCAATATTTATACTGTGGTTCTACCATTTTTGATTTGAGGGAAAGTGTCTTATAGAGTGAATCAAACCACTCTTGCTTTTCCCTGTCAGCTGTTACAAAGGAAAGCTCAGGATAGAATTGCTTAAACAGTAGTAGAAACAACTTAAAAAAACAAGTACTTGTAGAGCCAGAGTGATATGTTTATCCTCCTCTTCCTGTCCTCTCATTACCCCAGATGGTCATAAGCATTTTCTGTAACAGTATGGGAAGTGATAATTCCTACTACTAGAGGAATGATAGCATTTCATCTCTGAGATTAAAACATGTCTGCTTTCCCATTTATTCCTGCATTTATGTTTTGCCAGCTCACTTGGATTTATTTTTTGGTTTGTTTTGTTTTTGTTGGAGTAGTATCAATTTCAGCAAGGGACCAGCCATTTGCAAAGCAGCCAATATGCCCAAAGCTCCTTTGGTTAACTGTTGTGTTGCCATCAGAAGCGGCACAAAGCAATCGGCGTCACTCATTTGTACTTGGCGTCTTGAGTACTCTGGCTTTGGGAGTTTGCTGTATGTCAACCTCTACATCTTGCTTTACTGAAAGTGAACTCTTCTGTATCAGCACTTCCAAGGTTGGAAAATCAGGTTCAGCGTTGTTAGCATGAGATGTAATGTTTTCCAGCAAACATTTCAGCATGTGAACATCTTTGCACTCATCCAAACCTATGACATTGCAACAATTTGATTTCTGCTCTGAATAAAATTCATAGGAAGTCAGAAGAAAGTTCTCACATTGATCTTTAAAAATGAGGAAAATTGACTATCATAGTTACTGTTGACTTCTTTTTTTCATGTAATTTATTTCAGTGGTACACAGGGGAGGAAAGGAGTGAGCAAAAAAGATGCTCCAGGTGCATTAGAGCACCTAGGAAATTGCTTCGCTAGCTAGGTTTCCTCAGCCAGTTCCCTGTGTCAAAAGGGAAGTTCATTGTGAAAATTCAAATCCCAGATATAATAGGATCTGTAGGATGCCTGTGCAGAGAATGACTGCACTGTTGGTTACAACTCAAAATCTTTACACTCAGTGTGGTTAAACACATCCCCCAGGCAAAATTGTATGACATGGGATGATATCATAAACCTTAATCAAGCTATATTGATATATGATGTGGTGATATCACCCAGCTGTACTGTCAGTTAAAATTGTGCAAAATTTTGGGTGCTGCAGCCAGCCACTCTCACCAAAAGCTTAGAAAGTGCTTTTCACTAATGGCTTAGTGGAATTTGGGAAGTTTTGAAAGTACAGTAGCAGAAAAAAATCAAGTGCAAACCCTAAGGTAGATATGATCCCAGTTGCTTCAATATTTTATTACCATGTTAGCAGAAAATATTCTAGGGACACAATACTGAATGTGCAGTGTATTCATAAATAGACAAATACCTCACATTTCAATTCCCTACGTTACCTGAAACTCCCAAATAGTTTCCAGAGAAGCAGCCTGGAAATCAAGCATCTGGCAGCAGCATCTGGCAGCAGAAGACAGATGAATTTGCTGATGAATCAAAGAGATTCTGGGAAAGTGGTAGTTAAAAAGATCATTTAACAGTCACAGCAAAAAAAGTCCGAATCGCTCCATTGTGTAATCCCTGATTTATTTATCTCATATGTTAAAATTTATAATCAAGACAAAGTCTTGGTGATTCAGTAAGACTTTAAATGCATAAAATTAAAGCCATTAATCCTAGAAGCACTCTTACTTTATTAATATTATCCTAGAACTGAGACTATACATGTGCAGCTATGTGTAAATTAAGTATCTATTTGTAGTTTTAGGAATCCAAGCAAGAAACCTGTGGTTTGTTACCCTGGTAGAGGGGAAAATATTGGATGGATGGCACTAATAATGCTGCTGCCTTGGGGTACAGAATGAAACAGTTTTTTCTTGCAGTTATAGGATACTTCTCAAAACTTTTTCAGACAATTTATCGAAGCCATGAGCATTATACATAATGGCAAAACTAAGGCAGAGCCATAGTGGAATGGAGTGGGTGTAGAATTAAATTGCAGCTGGTAACGGATTTGCAAAGTGAGAAAAATTGTCTTCTTTCCTAGTGGGAAGAAAATAGTGTAAAACTGTAGGCAGATACAAAGTACTGTGGTTTACAGCTGAAATCAATCTCTTTCATGCTTAGAATAATCTCATGTTTGCATTTTTCATCGGTAATCATGAAGTCTGCATTCAGTTAAAGACCTGGTAAGTAGAAAATAATGATAAATTTCAAAGAGCTCTCCTGCTATGAGAAGAATGTATATGAAAGGTGATTATTTATACAAAACAAAAAAAAAAAACTTAAACAAAACTAACAAAAACCAACCCCAACCTCCCCTCCTCAAAACCCCCCAAAAAAACCCAACCACTAAAAAGGGCCATTTCATGGGAAATCCAGTATTGCATTAAGGCAACATTTTTTTTTGCATTCAGAGATGAACTTGTGACCATGGGCGATTGGAACCTGTTGGGCAGCATCCTTGAAGAAGTGCACATCCACTCTACCATAGTTGGCAAAATCTGGCTCACAATCCTGTTCATATTTCGGATGCTGGTGCTGGGAGTGGCTGCTGAAGATGTCTGGGATGATGAGCAGTCTGAGTTCATCTGCAACACAGAGCAACCTGGCTGCAACAATATCTGTTATGACCAGGCCTTCCCCATCTCTTTGATCAGATACTGGGTACTGCAGATCATATTTGTCTCTTCTCCATCACTAGTTTACATGGGCCATGCACTCTACAGGTTAAGGGCTCTCGAGAAAGAGCGACAGAAGAAGAAAGCCCACCTGCGAGCTCAGCTAGAAGACCTGGAACCCATGCCTGAGGAGCACAGGAGAGTGGAGAGAGAACTGCGTAAGCTGGAGGAACAGAAGAAAGTGAATAAGGCACCCCTGAGAGGGTCCCTGCTGCGCACCTATGTCCTACATATCCTGACCCGATCTGTGGTCGAAGTGGGCTTTATGATAGGTCAGTATCTTTTATATGGGTTTCACATGCCCCCCCTTTACAAATGCACTCGGTCCCCTTGCCCTAACACGGTGGATTGTTTTGTGTCCCGACCAACAGAGAAGACCATCTTCATGGTCTTCATGAACAGCATTGCTGCTGTCTCTCTGTTCCTCAACCTCCTAGAAATCGCCCACCTGGGCCTCAAGAAGATCAAGAAAAGCCTCTACTGGCGTCCGCCACGACTGGAGGAGGAGGCCAGCCTCTGCAACTCCAAGAAGAGCTCCGTGGTGCAGCCAGCCTCCCTGACCAGCAACGCCTCTCCTCTGCGGCCTTCCACAGCTCCGCAGCCTCCCATTGCTCCCGCTACTGCCGCTCCCGCGGGGCAGCCGGATGTTCAGCCGGGCCGCCAGCACCGCGGAGAGCTCCGCAGCGCCCCGCCGGCCCGCCGGCGGCACAGCGCAGGGCAGCACCACGGACAGCAGCCGCCGCCCTCCTCCAGCAGCGACGAGGCGTCGCGGGCACCCAGCACGGCGGCCTTAGCCCGCCGGGCGCCCCGCAGGCACAGCCGGGGCAGCGGCTGCCGCGACCGCGATGAGGAACGCGGAGAATCCCCGGACAGCGGGCACTGCCCGGGCACCCGCAACTCCAGCTTCCTCTCCCACGTCCTCACCGGGAGCCGGGAAAGCAGCGACAGCGACAGCGCCGCCTCCTGTGGAGACCCCGGCCGCGGCTCGGGCTCCGGCTCGGAGGGGAAGTGCCGGGAGGAGGACAGCCCGACCAGCAGCCCGCCGCCGGCCGCCGCCATGGGCCGACGTGTGTCGATGGCAAGTAGCGCCCTGCGGCCCAAGGGGAAGCCCAAGGGAGGGGGTGGCGGCGGATCCTGGGCCGGGGCTGGCACCCCCGGCTGCCTGTCAGGGCCCCGGGGAGGAGGGGGCAAGCCGGGGGCAGGGAGGCTTGGGCTGCGCTTCCGACCCTAACACCACTCTAACACCACGCATCCTCACGATCAACCCAAGCTCCCGCACATTCTGTCCCCTTCTCTGGTGAGAACAAAAGCATCGCTAAGAAATTATTGAGTGCTGAGGATCATTAAGTCACCGAATCTGAGCTTCTTTATACTCCCTACATCATCCCAATCAAATTCTGAGGACTGTCTAAAGGGAAACTTGTCCAGCTCCACTGACACTGTGAGAAAGAGGATCCTTGAGTACAGAGAGTGGTTAGAAGCAGAAGGCACTGTTACACATTGCTTATCAAAAAACTGTTCACTGGTTCCAGTTTTCATGGAGTTACAGTTTGTGCAGTATGCAGTCAGCATAAGTCATGTTAAATTGTCACTTTAGGTGCAATTTAATCACTTTTTATGCCACTATCTCTAATACAGGGAGAGGGCTTAGAGTCCAATCTGTCTGATCTGCTGGTTTTCAATACTCAGCTGAGAAGGCTCTTTAAAAAGGTGAAGTGTAAAAAGTTATTCAAGTAAGACAGAATTCCAGTAGCACCCTGCCGAGAATTCACAGAAGTTGCCTGGCAGCTTTTACTCTTTAATGACAATGATGGTATCTTCCAGGGGAGATCTTGCAGAGAGATATAAGCTGTTCGCAAAGCAGTGTCATTACTCTTGAAACTAACACTGTTCTGGCATGCTGCCTTTGCAGATCATGATGTATGGGACTGCTGCTAGCATTTTAAAATGACTCATGTGGGTATGCTCCCTATTGCTACCTGCTTACAGCACATGATATTTTAAAGTAAAGGTGCTTCTATATACAACAGGGTCAAGATTTTGGCAAATTCACTTTACTGCTAGCATTGCTATGACACTTTATGAGTAACAATTTCAATACACAAATATGCTGGTGCATCATAGCAATATTGATTCTGGGCATTAAAACATTTATATCCTTCCAGTCTTTACTTCCTAAATTCCACATTCTATATTGGTTGTAAAAGGCACTCAGCATTAGTTTGATCTGTTTTAATTTGACTTCCAGGAGACAATCATCATGTAGTAATATTCAGATAAAAGAAAATATCTATGATTAGATTTATCTGCATGACAGGAGCATTCAAAAATTAGTGATTTTATAAAAAAAATGTACTTAAAAGGAATTGTATGTAAAAGGTTCCAACTGAAGCATACAAAACTTGTTATCTACTGCTATGCCTGATCAATAGTGACTTGCAACAGTAATGCAGAGAAAGGACAGATACTTTTTAACATAACAATGAATCCACATGCACAAACATTTTCTGAACAGCCAAAATACAGTCTGTTCTAACCTGGATCTCACTAGTCTAGCCTGCATAGCCAAATGGAGCAAAATCGCAGTGGAATTGATACTGGTCTTCAATTTTCTTTGATAACTTTCCCAAACTATCATCTTTAGTTCCTTGCTGGTTTGAATGTTTTCTTTTCCCCTTCTTCCATATCATATTGCCAGAACTTGTCTGTAGCATTCCTTGCACTAGCTCAATGAGAGTATCAAATCAACATTAAAAATATCACTTCCTATACCTCAACAACCATTCTAGCAACCTCCAAGCAAACACATACCCACACACTGTGCTAAGATAGCAGTACAACTGCAACTGCCCACAACCGTCATAGCCTTCCTAGCTGAAAGAAAATCTTAAAGCTACACAAAATCAATCCATCTGATACTGCAAGAATATGAATACAGGTCAACCACATTCTGTGAATCATGGCATTGAAAGCACTGAACAGATTTAATAGTACAGCTATGGGTGCTTGACTGTCAGACATTGATGAGATCTTTTTGAGCAATATTACCAATTGCATTTCCACACCAAACACGAGTCTCTACCAGACAAAGAATAATTTTTAGGGACAACTAGATGTTCTTGAAATTACCTCTCATAACAAATTGCAACCTCTTAATCAGACCGTGAAGACTAGGTTGTTGATAGTACTTGACCAGGTCATGATCAAGGGATTTTTTCTAAGGAAGTACAAAACTGCATCCCTCAGAGAGAACAGGAACTTCTTAGGACTTCCTTTTTGGAAGAAAGGTTACTTTGGACCCTTAAGAGAGAATGCATTCATTCCTTACTGTAAACCCCCATGAAACAGCTCAATAGGATATTGAATACAAAATGCATGTTTGGCATGAGGATATCTCAACTTTTCAGACTTCAGAGCAGCTGTATATATAACAGAAGAAATGCCCATTCCGTTGTTGGAATTTGTACAGACCAATCATGTTGGCACACAATGCAAACTAACAAAGCTATTTAAAACCTCCTCATCTGGAATTGGTGGAGGTGAAGAGTCATTTCTTCATTTCATGTTCAGCCATGGCATAAAACCTTGAAAAAATTATTTGTGCTCTGACAGTTTAGTTTTACACCCAAAACCACTCACTCTTCATACTCTGTTCAGTTTCTTGGTCACTGCATTGTCCAAAGTTATCTGTTATTCAGATTGAGAAGGCAAAATGAAAGAGGCAGAAACCTTGAAGGCTAAAGGCTTCTCAAAAGGCTCTGATCCATTGGAAAAAAACATCTTTTCCTTGAGCCATTGCTGGTCAAACTTTACATCTATTAGGTTCTGAGGACAGACCACCAAAACTGGACCTTCACTGCATCAGGGAAAGTACATGGCAAAACACAGGAGGAGAAAATCGCTGCATGGCATGAGCATAATTTCCAACTCATTTCAGGCCACCTAAACAGAGTGACAAGAATATTGCTGACGATGGTGAGCTTATCTCAACTTGATGGAGACCTGGGATAAATAATGTTACAAAACTCTACACTGACAGGGGAATTCAGCATCTGGTACAGCTGAAAACAGGCTATCTGTAACCCTCCAAAACCTTGTTACTGAGGAATGCAGTCAGCATGCTTTGAAGTGATAATCTGCTCACTGATAACTGTCTGTAGACTAACCATTTCCAAGGCTCACTTAGAGTGTACACCTTAGAGAATATATGGTATCTTATCTTCTAAGAGATATTGTGGGTACACACATAGTTCTGCCCTAAGTTTTGCATATCTCTCCATATTTTAGCTTTTATTTAAGGGGAGAGAGCTATGGAGCAAAAGGGCACCTTTTGCATGGTCCTTGGCTGCCAGCCTCCCTTAGGTGAGCAGGCCTTAAATGGCTGCTTTTCATACATCCATCAGTGAAAAGAGCTGCTCTGAATTTAGTATAACTAGAATCACAAATGACAACTGGGAGTTGGATTCACAAAGATCTGTAGGAATTATGCTGCTGTCAATAGGTTTCTGCACATGAATGGCATCATAAAGAGAAAAAAGCTTCACAATTTGCACCAGTCAGGCCCTTGACTGGGACGTAATACATTTCTAAGTCTGATAATATGAATAGGCAGTCAAAGGTCAGTATATAACTAGTGCAGATATAATCTGTGCTCTCTTCAAAATAGGCAGAGCCAGGAATTACAGCCTGCAATAGGCATCTAGCTCTCGGAGCACTGCACTTAAGAGGACTGTCTCATTGATTTATGTGTGCAAGACAGTGTGAAGCCATTGGGACCATCAAATAACTTTTTCTCTCTGGCGAGATGGAAATAAGAGATCTGAGCACTTCAACTTAACAATTAGAGAGCAAAGTCACCTTTTGCCAGAATGAAGCAGTCTTCCTTGTCTGCCATTTTCTGCAAATCAAAGGAACGACTGCAAAACACCAGAACGCTCAGCTGAGCATGGCCACAGCTTGGCATTGCATCTTCACGGTGTTACAGTGTCATCACAATTTGGCAGCTGAATGCAAACATTCCTGCAAAAGCAGGAGGCTGTGTAGTATTTCCTCACTAGCTGCGTTCGAAGTCTTTTGTTAGCTGTGTCTCTCCCTGCCTTTCTAAAGCAGAGGACTCCAGTTGCATGCTACCTGAGCATGTCCAGCATCAGTTCCTTTTGTTTAGCTTTCTAAATAATCCTCTAAACCCTGTGAGATCTAATTTGGTTAACTGCCATTGGGAGTATTTACAGTAGATTGGTAACTCCTCTTAGTAAGGCACCATCTTTCAGATGACTTGGAACCGGGTTATCACATTTGCATCCCAAGCCTAAACCTGCATTGAAACATCTACTGTGCCAGTCCTCTTGCTAGAGCACCAAGGACATAGCAAGAAGATGGGGAGACTTAACATTATCTTCATTAAGCCAAGATAATTTCCTGGAGTCACAAAACAAAATGGGAAGTCATTAGGAGATTAATAATATTCTTAACAATATTTTGGCTGAACTCCTCTCCTGGGAAACCAAAATGACTAGGCCAAGATTTTCAGACAGAATTAGTGCATTTTAGGCACTCCAGATTATTTTAAATTGGGGTGTTCTTTTTTTCCAAGGAGTGCTGAGCTTTCCTCACCATTCCTCAATGCATTTCCTCTACGCATTCCTTATTATTTAGCCCTGTGCTTTCAGTGTAATTTCTTTAAAGCTGTATTTTTTGCCTACAAAGTAATCAATGTGTCTTTAAAAGCAAAGCCCCCTCTTCATGGTGAATGAGTGGGATAAAACTGATAATGAAGCAGCTGGTAAAGCTGATACCCTCAGCTTACAGAATTGGACTGAGATAGGGCTGCTGATTTTATTCATCTGCAGAAAAAAAAGTCTCTGAGGCTGAAATCCTGGCTCTGTCAAATTCAGGGGAATTCTGCGACCCACTGGGTTTGGTTTCACTCACTGCATTGCTCTCTTATTCCTCTGTGGTGTTCAGCTCTTTTTCTACTTCTCAATTCTCCATTCAGCTTGGAGCCTTTTACCCAGTGGGAAAATACTCCACAGTGAGCAGGACACGAAAAAGAGAGCTGCTATGTCAGCCTGAATGCTTGCAGTCTTCTGCAGAACAAGGCATGTTTACTCGCCTTTTCAGCAACACTTGAGGAATAAATACGCACTCATTTAACTAGCTCCTCACCCGCTTTCACTCCTGGGGCTGGGAACAGTTTGATAAGAGTGAATGTACATTGAAATAACAAGCCTG